GCCTCATCCTCTTATCTCTCCCTCGCTCCTCAGGAGATGAAAGAGCATGTTTTCCTCCCTGAGTTTGGCCTTCATAATTCCATTCCATCACACTTACAGAAAAAATTAGAGTCTCGATGTGGGCTTTTTATTCCACTCAGTTTTATATATATTTAATTTTTGTTACTTGAATGTGTAAATTTCCCACTCTGAATACCCCAATTACTATTAAGTATATTTTAACAGTAAGCTGGGACATGTAAATTTACAAATCCCCTCATTGATTTTGTCCTTGAAGGAGTTAAAATCTGTAAAGCAAAAATGGAGTCCTTTTCCATATTTAAGAATATTGGCCCTCGGTAAAAAGTGATCTGTAGTAGGCATGGAAATTCAAGTACTGTACATTTTCCAAGTACAAAGTGATTTTCAGTATTTTAAACATTTAATATGATACCAAAAATACCTTTATTATTGTCATCAGAAAAATGTAATTTTCTAAACACTCCAGAAGAACCATCTGTTCCAAAAGAAGTCCCATATACAAATATTAATATACCTGTGGGATCCTGTAGATGCTCAAAATGTTTGCCATAAAGAGAGAGACATCAGTGTTTGGTCCACCAATGACAGCTATTGGATTTTTCTTGACATCACACTTGTAATTAGCAACAAATCTCCCTGGTGCAGAGAGAAGCTGTAAAGTGGCCAGATAGGTCCAACTTGCAAGGAAATAACTGTTATAGATATGGAAGCCCAGGGTGATGTTGGGTAGGAGCATGGCATTTTCATTGATTTCTTTTATGGCAAATAGGAAAGCTAAGATGTGTTGGTAGTTCTGAATCAAGGTCCTGCAATGAGAATGATGTGCTACATCTTAGTATATATCTGTTTTTATACGCTATCTGTTCAGTCTAGATGATATGCATATAATAATACTATATAATCATCATCATTATCATTAAAACTAATCCTGCAAATATGGGTGCCAGTGTATTAACAGTTGGTCCCCAAAATTCTTTAAAAGAACTGCCCTCTGCCACAACATCTGGTAAGTGGGGACTTAGTAGGTAATCTCTGGTTCTCCAGATCAGATGGGAAGGTGCTCCATAACTCACCAGATATTCAGCAGTTCCTTAAACCAGACACTCCTTAAAGAAGGGCAATCTCAGTACTAGATCCAGAGTTTATGATTATGGAAAATAATATTTTGCATTTACTGCTGGTGCCATAACTGCATCCAATAAGAACAGGGTAGGAAACAGAAATGATTCTCTAGCAATGACTCTAATACTATCAAATATTATTAGAATACAAAGGGGGAAATATCAATTCTAAAAAGCAAAGGTAACAATATGAGCCATTCACCCTTCTTCTGATCTTCAAGTTGAATGGAACCATTGCTTGAAAATATGATCCAGAGAAAATTACATGATAAAGTAGAGGAGTGGTTCCTTACACTACTGTATCAAAGTGTTCACTGGAAGGGTGTCTTTCAAAGGTTATAAGTCTGGAAAATGCGTAGATCTGAGAAGTAATGCCTGCAATAGTGAGATCTCCTGGCTGATCATACTTGTGAAGTATAAAAAGATTGTCACTTTGGTAACATTTATTAAGAGGGAAAGTGTGCGCCATCTGAGAAATCAACATTAATATTAAAAACTTCAGGAGTAGCATCTGGAATGTAAGTTTCCTTCTAGGCACCAATTACTCAATTGCCACCTCATAAATATTGAGTAGCACAGTATGAACTTAACACAGAGCACACAGTTATAATCATAACAGCAGAGAACAAGTTCTTAGGAGATGCTTCAAGTATCCTTAAGGACTTTTTGAAAATTATTTTTAATAATGCTGTTTTGCTCAGTGCCAATGTTACTCTCTAGAGGCTCAGAAGAAAATAGAAAAAGAAATATTGATGTGCAATTGGTTAAGTATATGGAACATTGATGAGTGCCTACCTAGACTTTCAAACAATCTGCAGCCTATATTAAAAATAAATAACTAAAAATTGAAAAGTTATATACATGTCAGGAGAAGACGTTTTGGGAAAAAGTAAGGGTTCACAGATATATTAAAAAAAGGGAAATAAAGACTGTCAGAAGATGAGGTCTTCAGGGAACAAAGAAAATACAACATAGATAGAAGTTGTATTAATTGTGTAGTAATTTCCATCTGATCCATTTTGTTTTTTAATATCTAGAATGTACATGGAAACCAATATAGTCACATAGAAACCATAGAATTCTGGACAAATTCATGAAATATCTCATTATTAATGGCCACTGGGCTTGATAGCTTTTGACAGCCTCCTGAAACACAGGTAGTATATCTCGAATAACAGATGCTAGAAAATAAAAATAAAAGAAAATGCCAGTTGCATTCCTGTCCATGTATCTGAACTTCCTGAATGCATTGAATAGCCACTCTGCGCTCTGAATGCTTAGTTAGATGGATCCTCAACCAGATAGAGAAGAACAATTCTTACGTTCATAGCATTTAACATATGTCTGGACTAGCCATGACTCTGAGTTACCTGACATTCAGATTTTGAATACATTATGCAAAGACTTAGCTCTCTTGAGGAATCTGTAATGGAATGAAAGTGAAAAACTAACAGCAAAATGTATGGATTCAGTTAATGCAACAATGGGTGCTATGTTGGAAGATGTGAAGGGCCAGGCTGGGGACAGATCATCCTGGAGAAAGCTGTCTAATTGATTGCTAAGAGCTGACACTGACTTGATGGCACTTAAACAATCACCTGACAATCAGAGCTGGTCTACATACTGCCAAAGGGGAGATATTCACCTCAGCTGCATGCCATTGTTGAGGTGTCATTTCACAGATTAGCACAGCAAATCCTGTTGGGCCCTGATATACCTTTAACATTACTCAGCTTTCAATGTATGACTTTTTAAATGTTAAGAATCTATTTGAGTGCCATTATCTGGTATTCTGACTGGGGCTGCTCAAGTGACTGATCACGCAGTCAAACCTGTCTGGGGAGAGGTTTTCTATTTAAAGATCAAAATGCCTCCTGGAGTTTTACATGTACACTCCTAAGACATCTGCTCTTGAGCTATCTCCATATGGGGCTTTGTTAGGGCTTTTCAAAAAAACCATCAAAATTTCCAACTGACTTTTAACAACAAACATGAACAGCAACATGGTGTTAAATCCTAAACTGGTCCCTCAATTCATGAAAGGATCATCCAATGATTTCTGGGAACATTTATGAAACAGAATTATACACTGCTGATTCAGTGGCACAGTTTGACGTTAAAGGATTGGTTTTGGTTAAAATAACTTTTCTGTTCAATCTAAAATATTCCTAATTTCCTTGATTCCTGAAACTTCTATTAAAACTGAATCATCATCATTGTCATCATCATTATCATTCAGACTTCTAATAAGGGTTAAAGTGATGATATCATGAACATTTCTTTAGATTTCTAGTTAATGGAGTAATGGTTTTTGTTAGGGTATTTTTATTTATTTAAATCACAGACACAAAGACTTCCACCTCCAACAAAGTTTGCTTTATTGTACAAAATTAAAGTAGCACATCTTGCCAGTTTTAATGGAATTTAGAAGAACGGCCTATGCATGTATTTAAATAATATAGACAAACTGCTGAAATCTCCTCATTGGAATTTGTCACTGAAGCAGTCAATAGCCTGAGTCCTTTCATATGTAAGAGTATTGGCATTCTTTAGAATGCGATCTGTAGACCCACACTATCTAGCAGAGATAAAAATTAGTACAATTGTCATGTGCAATTATATTTTTAAATGTTTTAACTTAATATGACACCAAGAATGTTATTATTATTGTCATCAGAATGCTACACTTTCCTAAACAATATCACATTCTCTGATAGGTTCAGCTTCCAATAAAATAGCCATTATAGCTGTGGAAGCACTGTGGATAAGATACAGGATGTTACAGATTCCTGATGTTAGCTTTGACTATAGGTGTGTCAGAGTGCTTAAGGAAAGTCTCAAGGACCAATATTGTAACAAAAGAAAAGAAGATTGCAACAATGACTGATGTAGTTTCTAAAGTGTCCTGGTATGATAAGAAGGTGATATATTTGGCAATGCTTACATTTTGATGGAAGTTTGCATATTGTTCTTCTGGACATGGAACACAGTCATCTGCCTCTGAAAAATAATGTGATATAAATCTGGATGAAGCCATCACAAAGTAGCTGAAGAATTAAGGTCTCTGTTTCTCCCCTTTTTCTATATTTGGAAGTGGATAGAGTAGAAAAACTGATTAGCATTAACCAGTTAGGATAATTAAGGTTAGTATTAATATGAATTTTAAGTTATATTTTTAACTTTGCAGATTCAACAAGCAGGTGGCCAGATTCACCCTGATGTCCCTGTCCACATTCTTGAGAGTTATAGGTTTAAGCTCTTTCCCCGAAATAGAGAAAGATGATGTTTCAGTCAACAGAATTTGCTCAACCAGAGTTCAGCTCAGAACTCCTCCAATGCAATTTTATGTATCAGATACCTAATCCTCACAGCAGCCTGCAGACGTTCTTAGAACCCTTCTTTCTCAAGCAGGGATCAGGGCTCTAAACAGGGCCACTGGTTAGAAATTTGCAGATGGAATAAGCATGGAAAAAGTGTTCCAGTAATAGTTATAGTCTGTACCTAATATGCTCTCTTATGGATACTCAAGTGAGGGGTTTCACTGATTTCCTTCACAGCAAATGCCAAGGGCAGGATGCGCTGATAGTTTTGTGTCAGGAACCTTTAAGGAGAATTGTACAAACTGAATCATTATGATTCGATCAGAACAGGTTCTGATAATGGCCATCCCTATTATTTGACTTTCCAGTGAAAGGAAAACACCATGATCGCTTTTTTTTCAGGTCAACAATCAAAGGATAACGCTATCTGATAGCATTATCCTTGGATTGTTGACCTGAAAAAAAAGCTATCATGGTGTTTTCCTTTCACTGGAAAGTCAAATAATAGGGATGGCCATTATCTCCATTCTCTTCAAAATAAAGTCATGGCAATACAGGAAGTGCTCAACTTACGACCACAACTGGGATCAGAATTTCCATCGTAAGTCAGTGGCAGTGATGTCACGAAACTGCACCAACTTAAAACAGCAATCCCAGCACTCCCCATTTCGGTCGTTAACTGAGAATCAAGTTTACCCACCCCAATCCAAGCTGTTCTAGGCTTGGTCCCTCCCAGCCCTGAGCCACAGTAAGATAAGGGACTGCGTCCAACTCTCCCCCTGCCTATCTCACTGCTTTTGCTGTCTCCTTTTCCCTCCCTTTTCTGTCTCCATTTTGTTGCCTTTGCTGCCTCCATTTTGGACCCAGCTTCTCCAGCCAACATTTTCTACATGTGGCTAAAGCTGCACCATTTTCAGAAAGGTTTCCAAAGACAGTGCAGCTTTAGCCACATATAGGAAAGATTTGCTGGAGAAGTGGGGTCAGGAAAGGAGACAGCAAAGACAACGAGGCACTTCTGCTTTGGCCATGGCAGCTGGGTGCAAAAGGTGAAAGGTTGGTGTGGGCAGCTGGAAGAAAAAGCAGCTGGCTGAATGAATGCTTCTGTGCTTGCTGGGGTGGGGTGGGGCACACAAGGCTCCCCAGGTTATGGCAACCAGCCTCAAATCCGCACGGTTCTAGGGCTTCTTGCTGCTCCACAAGGCAGGATGCAGGGTGGCCAAAAGGGCACAGATGGGGGGAGATAGGCGTAACTGTTGATGTTTCATCTAATAAGCACAATATGAAGCCAAATTGAATTTATTACAGCAGTAGAAAATCTTTCAATCTGAAGAACAGGACCCAAATCACATTGTTTTCCTAAGCCCTTGGGAAACTGAATGATCTTCCTGAGCATCAAGGTCTGTAATCCACAATGGACTATAGATACCTCCTGCTGACGTACAGCACTCAATTTCTTTTGATAAATATAATGCTAAATAGGAGATTATCTGCCCTATCAACTTCTTCTCTGAATTCCCTATAGAGTTCTAGGAGCTGCTGGCAAGACTACAAAGACTAAAGGACATGGTTAATCTTTCTTTGGAGATTACATAGTATGTACAGAGATAGCCAAGTCTTCATCAGATATACCTGTGATAAGTGACCAAAACAACAGCATAGGAAGATTGAGATTAATCTTTGAAATTAATAAATGGCTTTCAGGCACAAAGCCCCTTGAACAAGTATGATTGTCCACTCAGTATAAAGTAAATTAGAAAAATAAATTCTCTTCTTACAAAGAGAACAAACATTTGCATTAGTACCTTAACATATAACATGCTTTCACTTAAGCCCAGGAATGTCTCTAAATTGTAAGAACTTCCACAAGATTGAGATATTTTCATAAACTTTATTTTCAAACTATAACATATTGATTTATCGCATGGAGCTGTCAATGATGTTCAGCAAACAACTTGGAGAGTCTTTACTATTTCCTTCTAACTAGCTGTTCTCTTTTATTTAGTTCAGGCTGGAAAAGAATAATATAACATTTGGGTAAAAAAATGCAACCCAGTAATCCTGGACTGGAGCCAAAGATGAAGAAGATCTCTACAGCTACCATGTATTTGCCCTTGGTGCTTAAATAGGCTGGGAAAAAAGACAACCACACACTGCAAAAGATCAGCATGCTGAACGTGATCAACTTGGCTTCATTAAAGCTGTCAGGCAAGTTCCTAGCTAGGTAGGCTACCAAGAAACTGACCAGGGCAAGAATCTCCATGAAGCCCAAGACACAGTAAAACATGTTGGTTGACCCTTCATTACATTCCAGTATAATTTCTTCATGCAGAGAATACATGTCAAAATTTGGAAATGGGCAGAGGTTGCCAGCCAAATTGCAGAAAGAATAATTTGAATAAAGGAGCAAGAAAAGACAACAGAATTAGTCAATCTGTTCCCTGCCCATTTCTTTATTCCAGATCCTGGCTTGGTGACCATGAAAGCGAGAACTACAATGATGGTCTTAGCCAACACCCAAGAAATTGCTACTGAAAATAGGAAGCTAAAAGCAGTTTGTCGAAGAAGACATGTCAGTGCTGTAGGCCAACCAATGAAAAGGAAAGCAGAAAGGAAGGAGAAGAGAAGAGAGATGAGGAGAAGGTAGGAGAGGCTCTGGTTGTTGGCTTTGACAATAGGTGTGTCATAGTGCTTAATGAAGACACCAAGCACCACTGCTGTCATGAAAGCAAAGGAGAATGCAAAAATCAAAGACAGAATTCCTAAAGATTCTTGGTAAGACAAGGTGATCTCTTTGGTAATGCATGCATTTCGATGGAAGTTTGCATATTGATCTCCTGGACATGGAACACAGTCATCTGCATCTGGAAAAAAAAAAACCAAAACAATACATTGTTTATATTGCTACAACTAAAAGCAAAATTACACATCTGAGACTGTGCATTAGAATGGATAGAAATAATTTACATATTCTTTTCTGCACCTCCAACTCCAACCCTTGGAAAGCTTAATTAGAACTTCAGCTCCATTGTATTCTGAGGTGTGAAAATCTTAACTCAAGTGAAATGGGAGGCAAAGAATCTTGAATAATAGAGGCAGAAATCAACCAATCAACTTCCTGTCTGGCCGCTCCCAGAGGTTAGACTAGGCAATTATATCTCCTCAGCTCTTACTCTCAACACTGGTTCACCACAGGGCTGTGTGTT